AAAAAGGAAAGGGAAGGAAGATAGAAAATAGAAAAAGGAAAGGAGGAGAAGAAAGGAAAGGGAGAAAAAAGGAAAGGAAANTGACCTTTCTGATCGACAAGCTCAGCGTCTTAGCCACTGAGCTGCCGCGTCCCTTATCCTATCAACGCAGCAACGTATTGATTACATTTTGACGGCATTTTTTTAAAAAAATCAACACTAACGTGCAGATATACGTTTCATTTTATTGACCGTTTACAATTTGATTCTGGGGAGTAGTCGTCGTAGGGAGCCCAGTATATACTGTTTTAATCCCCTGCAGGCAGCTCCAGTGGGAGGGGGGGTGCATGGATTGCAAGAATTGGGGAGTGGGGGGTGGAGGGAAGCTTGTCTGGGGGGTATATAAGCAGGCCTGGTTTTTTTAAGGGGGGGGGGGTCGGATTGGAAAGGCTGGCATTGCGATGGCTTTTTGTAGCTACCCGCGGCTGGCGGCTTTGTCTGTAGTTTTAATTTAGATGCAAATGAGGAGGGCGGGGCTGCTTCTCTTTGCCCGCATATTAATGCAGACTTTCCCTGCCTGCGGTGGAAGTGGGGGGGGGGGGAAGAGTCCCAGGGAGTGTCATTCCCACGGGGCATCCTCCTTTGGCTCTCTGGCTTTAGTAGCCCTGTCAATTCTGGTGCTTTGGGCCCGATTCCTGGGTCAGAAAGGACCGGGATCCAGGGATCGGCTTGGTCTCTGGACAGCAAGCTGGAACAAGCTTGCTTCCTTTCTTCCTCCCTCCCTCCTTCCCTCCCTCCCACCCTCTCTTCTTTGTCCTGCTTTTCTTCCTTCCTCCCTTTCCTTCCTCCCTCCCTCCCTATCTTCTTTCTTTCCTTCCTATCTTCCTCCCTTTCCTCCCTTCCTTCCTCCATTTCCTTCCTCCCTCCCTCTCCTCTCTCCCTCCCATTCCTTCCTTCCTCCCTCTCTTCTCCCCCTCCCTTTCCTCCCTCCCTCTTTCCTTCTTTCCTCCCTCTCCGCCCTCTCTTTCCTCCCTCCCTTTCCTTCCTTTCCTTCCTTCCTCCCTCTCCTCCCTTTCTTTCCTTCCTTCCCCGTCGTTCTTTCCTTCCTCCCTCCCTCCTTCCCTCCCTCCCACCCTCTCTTCCTTGTCCTTCTTTTCTTCCTTCCTCACTTTCCTTCCTTCCTCCCTCCCTATCTTCTTTCCTTCCTTCCTATCTTCCTCCCTTTCCTCCCTTCCTGTACTTCCTTCCTCCATTTCCTTCCTTCCTTCCTCCATTTCCTTCCTCCCTCCCTCTCCTCTCTCCCTCCCATTCCTTCCTTCCTCCCTCTCTTCTCTCCCTCCCTTTCCTTCCTCCCTCTTTCCTTCTTTCCTCCCTCTCTGCCCTCACTTTCCTCCCTCCCTCCCTCTCCTCTCTCCCTCCCTTTCCTTCCTTCCGTCCTTCCCCCCTCTCCTCCCTCCCTTTCTTTCCTATCTTCCTCCCTCCCACCCTCTCTTCCTTCTCCTTCTTTCCTTCCTCACTTTCCTCCCTCCCTCCCTCTCCTCTCTCCCTCCCTTTCCTTCCTTCCCTCCTTCCCTCTTTCCTCCCTCTCTGCCCTCACTTTCCTCCCTCCCTCCCTCTCCTCTCTCCCTCCCTTTCCTTCCTTCCCTCCTTCCCCCCTCTCCTCCCTCCCTCTCTCTCCTATCTTCCTCCCTCCCACCCTCTCTTCCTTCTCCTTCTTTCCTTCCTCACTTTCCTCCCTCCCTCCCT